TTATTAATAATTTAACTTTAAATAGATTTTACATTTTAATTATTATACTATCTATAAAATAAATTAATAAGAGATGAGAAAAATGAAAAAAAGAGTAAAAATGTACATAAAAAAATAAAAGAAAAAAAATGAACCAATTTGTGTTGATCGGGTTTTATTAGACTGGGTGTTGACTATATTTTGACTACTACTATGTAATATCTTAGGCTTAGTTTGGAAATACATTTTTAACTAGATCTTTCACTTTTAATTTTTTTTGTCTTTTTATTATCTTAAAAAAAAATATATATATATATTTAATCACCATCTAAAAGATATATAAAATAGAGTGAAAATAAATATTAGGTGTATTAGATATGTTTTATATTTTTTTTGAGACATTAAAAGTTAAAAAAATATTTACAATTACAACTATAACTCCATACTCCCAGACCAAGCATTAATCCAAACTGTTTTTGGGATTAATTCTAATTGAACTAGTTAATCTAACCAGATTGGTTTGAATTTTAAAATAAGGGTTTGTCTATCTTGTATTATTTTTAAGGTATAAGATAAAAAATCATCATTATATAATAATTATGATTTTTTCTTTAAAAAAGTAAATTTTTATATTTTAAAATTAACTAATAAAAACTTAACACATGATATTTATAGTTAAATTAAAAAATTAACTTTATCATTTTCAAGATAAAAAGTGATAATCATTAAATAAGATAAAAGATGATAAAAAAATGAATTTTTAAGGTACATGATTGATAAATCCTTAAAACAATTAGTAAAATGCAGCCCAAACACATCCTTACAAATTGTCATCCTCCCCCTAATTGAAGAATGAATAAAAATCTCTAAAACTTACTGTAGTGAGATAATTACCCTCAGCTTACATATACTTCTTGGAGTAGCAAGCGTCAGTCTACCCTAAAATAGCTTTAATATTTGGTTGACCAGGTTTCCTGCACCATCCAATTAAGGACGACCTATGACCAAATTTTAAGTCCTTCAATTGGCTTTTGTAAGGGGAGCTCGTGGGCCCCCCGTGTGGGGCGCATTTGCGTATTTGGCCTCAGTGCTGCTGGAGCGACCTGAGGTGGCCTTCCCAGGGATCGAACCCGAGTCTCGTAGGACTCCTCCCTTAAGAAGATTTCACGGGTGACCCTGGTACCACTTGATCTCCAGCAGCACTGAGGCCAAATACGCAAATGCGCCCCACACGGGGGGGCCCACGAGCTCCCCTTACAAAAAGGCCGGCCTTTTTGCCAGGGGTACCCCGTGGGGCCGTTCCTGGGCTTGGCGATTTGTTTATTTGGCCACAGTGCTGCTGGAGCGACCTGAGGTGGCCTCCCCAGGGATCGAACCCGAGGTCCCGTAGGACTCCTCCCTTAAGAGGATTTCACGGGTGACCCTGGTACCACTTGAGCTGGAACGGCCCCACGGGGTACCCCTGGCAAAAAGGCCGGCCTTTTTGTAAGGGGAGCTCGTGGCCCCCCCCGTGTGGGGCACATTTGCGTATTTGGCCTCAGTGCTGCTGGAGCGACCTGAGGTGGCCTCCCCAGGGATCGAACCCGAGGTCTCGTAGGACTCCTCTCAGCTCAAGTGGTACCAGGGTCACCCGTGAAATCCTCTTAAGGGAGGAGTCCTACGGGACCTCGGGTTCGATCCCTGGGGAGGCCACCTCAGGTCGCTCCAGCAGCACTGAGGCCAAATAC